GCCTTATCTTATCTATTTACTTAAACAGCAATTTTTAAACATGTTGCAACGCTAATTTTTTTTCTAATGTTTTATGTTAGAACTCTAGCAATACATCGGTGAAAACTGCAGTAAATTCCATGCAGTAATTTTCTAGTTATGCACGTACAAACATACCGACAGACAGACAGACAAATATTCTATAAATTGTTGATTAGGCTTCTGTTGCTCCAATAAGGACTTCCCCCCGCCCCCATGTTAATTTTTCTTTAAGCAGGCAGGTTGTTCAATTCACTTCCGTGTCATTTTCAACCCCTGCCAATTTGACTTCAAAGCGAATTAGATTGAAATTCACTCGAAAGTGAATTGCAGAACCTGCGTGTATATCTATAATGAACAGATTTCGGCCTGTTCCAATTTTATTATATGTATAGAATTATTGACTTTTGAAAAAAGCGTAACAGTTAGGGTCCCTGATATTGACTGTATTATAGAAGTATTGCTTTAGTCCGTTTTTTCCTTTTCTTTGTTTAAGAAAAGCAGATATTTACGTATGTAAATGTATGTATATTCATACCATTTTAAATATGTTCAGATTTTATATGCATGAGTATGCATGCATTTACCTACTAACACAAGCAAATATTTTTTTGTTTGTTCCGACTTCCTTCTTCCTATTGGCAAGCATCTGTGCATTTCAAGATCATTTTTATTAGGACGGTTATAGAGTATGAGGCATACATAGATAGATAGGCAAGTATGTATGTATGTATGTAAATATCCCACTGGGAAAATAGGTAAGCACCTTGCGAGGTAAGCCATGTTTTCTTTCAGTTTTTAGTACCAAAATTGTCATCATGGCCAATGTCATCTACTAGTAAAGGGCAAAATGAACACCTCCGAAGACACATTACGTTGTCAGTTGCAAAATAACGTGCAGCCGAAGTTATTTCCAAGCACCGAACTACTCCGAGCGACTGCTCTGCATTACACGTAACTTACTTTGTAAAGCGGCTCAGAAGTATGTCTGATACCAAATGTACATTCTAAATTCCTACTTACATAAGGCGGCCATGCCTTTGTAAAAGTAAGGGACGTTCGGCAGGGAAATGGTAATGACTGCCAGGTGAAGAGTAAGTTGCTAATAAGGTATTATTACGTGCTCCTAATTCCCACTGGGATATCACTGATAATTGTATGGATCGAGCTTCACAATCAGTTAACGTTCTGGAAATCGATTATCGACGAAAATTTAATTAACTTGCATTGCTCTATCGCTTGATGAATACAGCGTGGCGACGAATAACTGCTACCCCGGTTTTTTTGAGAAATAAAAGGGTCCTTTATAGATTTTGCGAAAAAAGTATTTTATTGTTAATTTGCCAAAGATTTTACTTTAGTTATATTAATTAGTTATTAAATTTGAATCCTTATTTACAATTGCCAGCAGTTTAAACTTTGTGAGAAAAGTTCATTTGGCACGCAGTGTAACTTAAAAATAAATTGAATTAATTTTTTTTGTCAGGTGGCAACTTTTTTTGAAAAATAAGAAGTTATTGCTCATCCACGGCCCAAGCCCTTTAATTTGATACCCATTTTGTACAATCGAACGAAGTGTACAGATCTGATATGACGAAAATTTTTCGTGTATTATGCATTCATATGTACATACATAAACATATACATATGTACATACATAAACATATACATATGTACATACATAAACATATACATATGTACATTCATAGACATATACATATGTACATACATAAACATATACATATGTAGATTACTAAAAGAAAAACAGATCCACAATAACTGCAATCAACATATGTACGTATGTATATATTTACATACATACGCTGCGATTAGGTTATAAATATTGCGCCATCTGTTACTCAAAAGCCGAAATACACACACACACATACTTGTTGTCTCCTTCCCTCACTTAGCGCATGCACGTGATTGCAAAATGATGACGAAGTGATTTGTATGGAAAAGCTATTTATGCTCATTTATTTGAATAAAATAAACATAGAAGATATGAAAATGAAAGTTATATCTGCAAACCATGTTGCTAGAGCACTTTAAAGGTTCAAAATTGACTCCAAAATAAGCCAATATTTATCGTTCTTTCTAAGGCTGAAACCAAATTGGTTATTTACAAAAATGAATCTTTCTTTTTTTTGAAACGCCACTCTTTTCTTTGAGATCGCATCATTTGTTCTCGTACAATAAGCGTTTTCGTGAAGCTAAAAATTACAACTACAACATTTGTGCGTAGCCTCCATATCGAAACGTAAGACGTAAGTATTCTACGTCAAAATGGGGAAGATAATGGCGAACAGTTATATAATGCTTTTACGATGTAAATTTATTGCAACTCTTCCTTTAATAGTAGGGGTACCCGAAACGATTGAGCAGGATGGGATTCGGAGGCAGCTGTAAACTTATGTGGTAGATCCTAATACTTCTCTCAACTGCCGGGAGAATCACAAAGTTATTAGGGTGGTGTTCCTTAAATTTAACACCCCAATTCCGTTCTCTGCTCCTGTAGAGCACCGTGTTTCTTTTGCGGGGATAGTAAACACCCCCCGCAAAAGAATTTGGGTGATTCTAATTTTGGAAAGCTTGTTCTAATAAAATCAAACAATGTACGAAGAAATTAATGTCTATATCAATAAAATTTTGTACACTCCCCACCCAGCACTTTCTGAAATTATTGATCGTATTCTAGTCTCATAAGAAAATGGTACCCTTCCCGCGAGATTCTTCTTGACCAGTCTTTTATTATCCACTTTTCTGATCAGTTTTGACTCTTTTTCGAGTAATTTTTTAGTCCTATTTGTAAACATTTGTGAGCCTTTTTCGAGTAATTTTTCAGTCGTATTTCTAATTATTTTCGAGTCTTCCGAGTCCTTTTTCAGTCTATGTTCAAAGCGTTAATGAAATAACGAAATATTTCAAAATTACCCTTCTGGATAAAAATAATTGACACAGAGAACTTTTCACAATGTGCAAAGTTTTTTATTCCAATTTTTTTTCGCTAATTTTCTATAAAAAAGTATAGCTCATATTACAACAAAAACATAAAAATAAAATGTCTAAGGTACATAACTATATGCAGAACTCAGAAAAATTCAATGAATTTGCAACTTTTTAAAAAGATTTTCAATAAAGTGCAAGTTCCAAGTTGCGAAAAAATCGCGTTGATTTTTGGCAATTTTTTTCTGACAGTGTCTTGCATAAAAAAATGGCAATCTTTGTATGGAAGACACTGTCAGAAAAAAATTTAAAAAAATCGCGTTGAAAAAATGGAACTGTGTTAAATTTTCCTGATTTTTGCACATTTTATCTTTATGTTTTTGTTGTAATATTATGAGCTATGTTTTTATAAAAAATTACTTTTGTTTGGTTTCTTCGCCGTGTGTAGTTGCAATGATCTAGTTTGTTTTCGTTTTTCCAACCTGTCTTTAGCATGCACAAAATGCTTTTTTGTAGCACACCGTTTATTTCATGGTCTGTGCTTTTGAATTTAGGTGAAAAATATTATTATTAGGTCCTACTGCTTATGCATACATATATTGCAATTTTCTTACACCACGCACTTCACACCACGACTCGGTAAAACAAATGTTTTTTTTTTCATAGCAACGGAAACGATCACATTTCAATCCCCAGCATGATAGTTTGTGATTGCCCTACATTTTGTTTTTATATTTTCAATAAATCACTTTTTAAGCGTAAGGGTGAGTAGTTTTCAGGTCTTGTTTAATCGCGGAAGCGATTGCATATATGTATATGCACGAAACTCTGCACACTTATTTGTTTCTACCCCGGGAAGGTTATAGGCATACAGAAAAATGGGCAGTACTGGAAAAGGGGGGCGTGGCACCTCCCATAGACGTTAATTATTAAATTTGCTCTAACTTCGGAACTGTAAGTCACATGAACTTGAATTTTGGTATTCAAACATATCTATGGTAGATGCTTATATTAAGGTATATATAAATGAGATTGTAAAAGGGGGCGTGGCACATAACATAGGCGTGGAATTTTTAGTCAGTCATAACTTCGGAACCGTAAGTTAAGTTACATGAACGTGAAATATGGTATGCAGACATATCTATGGTAGGTGCTTGTAGTAAGGTGTATATATAAATTAGTCTGTAAAAGGGGGCGTGGCACATCCCAAAGGCGTCGAATTTTTCATCAGCTATAACTTCGGAACCATAAGTCACATGAGCTTGAAATTTGGTGTGGAGATATATCTATTGTAGGTGTAGGACTGTGAAAGGGGCGTGGCAAATCCCAAAGGCGTGCAATATTTTACCAGCGATAACTTCGGAACCATAAGTCACATAAACATGACATTTGGTATGCAGACATATCTATGGTAGGTGCTTATAGTAAGGTAGTACATATAAATGAGTTTGTAAAAGGGAGTGTAGCACTTAACATAGGCGTGAATTTTTTATTAGCCATAGCTTCGGAACCACAAGTCACAAGACCCTTTTAATTCCTTCTCACGTGGGGTGAAACCCGCGGGTAAAAGCTAGTATATTATAAAAAGCAGCCAAATCGACCTGTAAATAAATTAGATATAGGACTTCTATTTATTTTTTTTTTGGCGATAGACTTTTCGCTGCAATCGCTCATATATACATATATCGTCGATGTTTTTGCAAAATCGCACATCTACTAGTTGCAAAACCGCCTATCTAACGGCACACAAATTTTACAGGAGAGCGAAAAACCGTGTTTTCTTTGAAGGCATTGCCTTGATAGGCGGTATTTTCTCTAGCTATTATTTTACAAACGGTTTAGTAACGACTACGATTTTTATGCATAAATCTCGATGCCTGGAATTCAGAGTTACCAAATCTCTTTTTTTTGCCACAGCGACGATTTAGGCGGTTTTGAAACTGGTCGATGGGCGGTTTTGCACAAACATCGACGATATGTATGTATGTGTTCCCCTTTTTTTGTGTTAATAACATGTTTTTTATTCTTTCTTTAAGGCGAAGGAGATCCTCTCAAAGGAATCAAATGTCCAGGAGGTGAAATGTCCAGTCACAGTGTGCGGAGATGTACACGGACAGTTCCATGATTTGATGGAATTGTTCCGGATAGGTGGTAAATCGCCTGATACAAATTACTTATTTATGGGTGATTATGTTGATCGTGGCTACTATTCGGTGGAAACCGTCACTTTGCTGGTAGCATTAAAGGTTCGTTACCGAGAAAGAATTACAATTCTGCGTGGCAACCATGAATCGCGACAAATTACGCAAGTTTACGGATTCTACGATGAATGCCTGCGAAAATATGGCAATGCAAATGTTTGGAAGTACTTTACTGATTTATTTGATTACTTACCATTGACGGCATTGGTCGATGGACAAATATTTTGTTTGCATGGCGGTCTCAGTCCATCTATCGATAGTTTGGATCATATTCGTGCTTTGGATCGTCTTCAAGAGGTGCCACACGAGGGCCCCATGTGCGACCTACTATGGTCTGACCCTGACGATAGGGGCGGCTGGGGAATTTCACCACGTGGTGCCGGCTACACATTTGGTCAGGTATGTTTCAAGATTTTCTGACATGTGCATTGGGTATTTTACATATTTGTTATTTTTATACTTATGATTTATGACAGGATATTTCGGAAACGTTCAACAATACAAATGGACTGACACTGGTATCACGCGCTCATCAGTTAGTCATGGAAGGATATAATTGGTGCCATGATCGAAATGTTGTTACAATATTCTCAGCGCCAAATTATTGCTATCGCTGCGGCAATCAGGCGGCTCTAATGGAATTAGATGATTCACTGAAGTTTTCATTGTAAGTACATAGACGGTAAATAGGTGCATGCACAAAACGTGCCGATAAAAAATAGCACCTTTTGACCAGTTTTAAATATTTATGCGTTATTTGTTTAATGTTTTGTACAAAAATTTAAAAAAATTCAGCGAATGGTCACTAAAGTTTCATAAATTTTAAACAGAATTTTTATAATAATTTTAAGTGTGCCTATAAAACTGCATTAAATTTTTTTCTGACGTGGTTAAGTAATTTCTTCATACTTTATCGAACATACTTTGGATTGGATCATCAACATAAGAGACAATCGAGACTCCCTCTGGTGGTTGAGGGAGCTTTGAAATGTAAAAGATAAACAGTAATGGGGAAAGGACACCACCCTGTGGAACCCCCTGTTTTATTTTCCTCGGTTTGCTCGATTTGTCTCTAAAAGTTACTGACGAGTGACGACCACTCCGATAATTCGCCGACCACCGATTAAGTCCCTGTGGGAGAGAGGAGGCTTCTATGTCTTCTAGTAGCGTTGAATGGCTGACAGTGTCGAACGCCTTAGACAGGTGCAGCGCTACTAGAATGGTTCTCTCACAGGGGCGCTTTCGGTTTAGGCCACGAGTTATCTGGGTATTTATGGCGTTAAGTGCTTTGTTGTGCTGTGCACTTGACGGAACCCATGCTGATGCTTCGCTGGGGTCCGGTGGTTTGTAAAATACGGGAGTAGCAAGGCCTCTAGTATCTTCGCTACCGGGGAAAGGAGGGTTATCGGACGATAGGACTCTCCTTTGTTGGCTGGTTTCCCCGATGTCTGGAACGACAAGAGTGACTATTGACAGGTTGAGGACCTCCGTTAGGTACGCTACTCCCGTAGGACCCAAATTTTTCAGAATCAGCATGCATATTCCGTCGGGTCCAATGGTTTTGGAGGCTTTCGCCTTCCCGATGGCTACCCTTACCTCACCGCTGGTGAAAACAAGAGGCGCGACTTCCACAGGGTCTGTCCATAGGAACAGGGGCGTTCCCACGACAGTCGGGTCCACGTAACCGGAACGACCCAGATTTATATCTGGCCAAGGACTGTCACTCCAGCACACTCCCCAAAAACCCTTTGGGGAACTTGTATGCTGCTACAACATCAACAACATAGGGACAGGGGCGTCAGCTGAGTGGGGTTCTCATGCATGTGAAGAGGTGCCGGGGGTCATGTGGCGACTCTCCACATGCCGGGCATTGGTTGGGCACATCCTCATTGATTCTGCTCAGGTAAGAGTTTAGCCTGCTGCAATAGACAGAGCGAAGTTGGGCTATTGTAGTGCGGGTCTCTCGAGGCAGACAAAGTTCTGTCCGGTCCACGTCCGGTGGTTGTGTGCCTAGAACGGCATTCACAGGGCGGGAGTCTACATAACTCGAGACTGATTCCCTGTGAATGCCGTTCAGGGCCTGTCGGTAGGTTGACGTGTCCAGAGGTGTTTAATAAACCTCTGGACTTCGTCCGTCAGTTCGTAAAGAGGCCTCCTGACGTGCCTTGGCGAGGGCTCTTCTGCAAGCAGCTGTCTGCTGGGATGGCCACGTCTGTGGCTCCCTGCAAGGAACTGCTTGCAGAGCATTATATTATGCTCCTTGGCTGGGAGCATCTGGGCCTCGTCATTGTAGGTGGTGTTTGGCAGTTTGTGCAGCCTTTTGGTCACTCGACGTTTGGCTTTATCCACCGGAAGATGCAAGATGAACTGGCGGCTAAAATAGCTAGCGCATCGCTCCGGGTCCGACGAAGCGTTTTCACTAAAGTCTATTTCAACTCTGTCGTCACACTTCGTCGTGTTGGACAATGACCTCACGGTCAGAGGCGAAGTTGCAGTTCTTCAGATGCTCTTCCCATTTCTTCCTTATGTACGTTCACAAATTGACGAATCTCCTTGATCGGCCTGACGAAGGTTGTCGCGCTCATCGGCTAGGACAGCCGCTTCTGCAGGAAAATTCGGACGAGGGTCCGAGATGCATTCCGCTGGGATGCAGCGGGCTGCAGCAGCAGTGACAACCCTGCGGAATTTACGTTCACCAACGTGAATGTCGGTTGGTATGGGTAGTGCAGCGAAGGCGTTCAGTAACATCCGCGAAGCCTTTCCAATCAGCTTTAGAAAAGTTGACATATGTCCGGTGATCCGCAGAAGCAAAGTCGGCTGGTTTATCAGTCGAGATGTTTATGGGTAGATGGTCTGATGCTAAAGTCAGGATAGGTCGCCATGATACGCTGTTTATTAGACCGGCGCTGACTTTTGTTAGATCTGGCGAGCTGCAGCAGCTGCCCATAATCCTAGTGGGTGCGTCGTCGTTCATTGTGCAGAATGTCGAATCGTCTTAAGTCTAGGTGACATGAATATACGTGCCGCATATTTTGCCGACATGACGTAGGGTTGCCTATTTACACGGGACTTAAATTTTAAGAAAACTTCATACATACCTTTCATTAAAGTGCTGTATCTTAATGAAAAAATGTATTTCTTCCGTCTTATTATGGGCTTTAATTGTACATTTTTCGCATTAATGTGCAACGTATAAAAAAACAAAAAAAAATAAGTAAACAGTTTTCTTTTTGATTTTATTTTGATTATAACATTTTTAAAAATTTTTATTTTTAAATAAAAACATTGCCTATAATGTCAACTTTAAGTACCCAAATGGGCGTAATGGGATACTTATGTGTATGGACTCTAGATCGTCTAACGCTCGAGCAATATGATAAATAGGCATTGAAATTTTATAAAATTATATATTTTTGAAAGAGGAAAGGTGTGTAAAAAACAAAAACAGTATGAATAAATCATATTATCCTTACTAAAGGTCTGAATCATGAAAATCCCTTCAAGAAAATGGCAGAATTGAACTTTGGTGCAAGTTCACATGGGAAATCTTGCGACGTGATTGGAGGAAATTTTAAGAGACTAGCACCTAGAGCAAGTCTTCAAATCCTGATGTTACAACAAATTCGTACACCCGAAGCCCTCTACCAATGGGGTGCTGTATGTTTCCAATTGGATGCCTGTAAAACATAACTGCAACTAACTTTTCAGTGGACTTTATTTCGACTATGACTACGTGCCAATTACGTTAATCCTATTTTAAGCTAGTTTAAAAGGTTAAATTACATCAAGTTAGGGAATTTCATATCCTTATTTAACGAATCTTTAAATCAATAAATATTTTTTTTCTTTTTAGTTCTTATTGTAATAAAAGCGTGTTGTTGGTTTTTTTTTTAACTAAACTTTTATTACTCATTAGGTTTATTTTTTTACACACCTTTCCTTTTTCTTATTTTAATAAAAGGACTAACCTTGAAGCTATTATTGGAGGTCTAATATTATTTTGCAATGAGTGTTGTTGATGTTGATGTTGTTGATGTGTCTGTTTCATTGCTAAAAAATATTAGACCTCCACTGATAGCTTCAAGGTAAGTCTTTTTATTAAAACAAGAAAAAGGAAATACACAACTTTCCTAAAAACAAACCTAATGAGCAATAAAATTATAGTTTAAAAAACCAACAATACGCTTTTATTACAATAAGAACTAAAAAGAAAAAAATTATTTATTGATTTAAAGATTCGTTAAATAAGGATATGAAGTCCCCTAACTTGATGTTATTTAACCTTTAACCTTTTAAACTAGCTTAAATAGGATTAAAGTAAATGGCACGTAGTCATAGTCGAAATAAAGTCCACTGAAAAGTTAGTTGCAGTTATTTTTTACAGGCATCCCATTGGTAGAGGGCTTCGAGTGTACGAATTTGTTGTAACAACAGGAGTTGAAGACTTGCTCTAGCTGCTAGTCTCTTAAAATTTCCTCCAATCACGTCGCAAGATTTCCCATGTGAACTTGCACCAAAGTTCAATTCTGCCATTTTCTGGGATTTTCATGATTCCAATCAGGTCGTAGGCAGATTTCCTTGAAGGGATTTTCATGATTTCAAACCTTTAGTAAAGTTAATTATAAAGTCATTTATTCATATTATTTTTGTTTTTTAGACACCTTTCCTCTTTCAAAAATATATAATTTTATAAAATTTCAATGTCTATTTATCATATTGCTCGAGCGTTAGACGATCTAGAGTCCATACACATAAGTATCCCATTACGCCCATTTGGGTTCTTAAAGTTGACATTATAGACAATGTTTTTATGTAAAAATACAAATTTTTAAAAATGCTATAATCAAAAAAAATCAAAAAGAAATATGTTTACTTAATTTGTTTTTTTTTTTTGTTTTTTATACGTTGCACATTAATGTAAAAAATTTACAATTAAAGCCCATAACAAGACGGAAGAAATACATTTTTTTCATTAAGTTTCGTTAAAAGGTTTCCAAGATACAGCACTTTAAAGAAAGGTATGTATGACGTTTTGTCGGCCGCTGTGGTGTAGTGGTAAGCAGTGCGCGCTTCCACTCCGCAACGCCTGGGTCCAAGCCCTGGTCAACGCAACATCGCAAAAAAATATAGAAAAAGGTTTTTTCTTAACAGTGGTCGTCCCTCGGTTGGCAATGGCAAACCTCCGAGTGTATTTCTGCCATGAAAAACAGCTTCTCATAAAAATACAATCGCCGTTCGGAGTCGGCGTAAAACTGTAGTCCCTCCGTGTAAATAGACAACCCTACGTCATATCGGCAAAATATGCTGCACGTATATTCATGTCACCTAGACCTTCAATCTCTTCAACTTTCATCCAAATCCTGAGATGTCGCGCACAGAGGTGGGCGCGGTGACATGAAATGCCTTATAGTACAGTTCAATATCAGTGCTGTTCAAAAAAACTGTATTGAACTGTACTATGGATTGGATAACATAGTACTGTTCAATATACAATTCAGCGCTGTTCAAAAACCCTAAATGCATTTAGTTTAATAATTTAGTTTGTTAATGCTTCTCCGTTGTTAGCTCCCAAATACAAAAGGAGACATCATTTTTTTTTTAACTTAATTTCTTTAACTTTTTTTATTCTCATCTTCTCACTTGGCCCCTGTAGATAATTTCAGGAGTTAAAAGCCCTTCCCAAGGGCCTTCCTGAAAGTAAAGGGGCTTTAAACTGTTCAGCCATGCATGGGCTTTTAGAATGGCTAAACTTAAGAAGGCATTCCTAAGTTGTTTTCTGGGGCGTTTAATATATTTATTGGGTTTGAATTTTTTCTAACAAAACGTTTTCTTTCTCTATTACAGCCTACAATTTGACCCAGCACCTCGTCGTGGTGAACCTCACGTTACACGAAGAACACCAGATTATTTCCTATAAGAGAATTCTTCACACATTTACATATATTATACAAACATTTATATAAATGCAAAAAACAACAGAAAAACAACAAATACAAAATTATTTATATAAATTAAACTCCAACCATACGAAATGATGGAAACAATAAAAACTAAGTAAAGTGAATGTAGTTGAAGTGAAAGGATATAACTGGAAAGTATAACACCACAGCTATCAGCAACGATAAATATTTGCTTGCCGAAATAGGAGCGGCACTAACAAGATATCTTGTAATATAACATCAGATAAAAAAAAAACATAGAAGTATGTTTATTTACTGGCTTTAGTTATGGCTTGCAAAAGGCAGTCAAATACGAGAAAATTTGTTAAGGGCAAATCTAAAGGACAACATACATAGTCCACTCTTTAGTTAAATTTATAAAAGATCCGCTGGTACAGACTCACACCCAATTATCAATTAACCATAACAACTAACGCGACGTGATCAGCGCTAAAGAGAGGCACGCGGAGGATAAAAAAATAAATTTAATCAAATATTCATACAAAAAACCCTAAGTAATGCAATGAAGCCGATAATACACATAGAATACAACAATTAATAACATAAATTATAATTTATTACAAAAAAGTTAAATTAAAATTTGTAAGATTGAGATAACTTCTAGATATCACAACTAGACATAGCCTTGACGCCCATTTAACTTGTTCAAGGGTAAATAGGATCGTTACATTTAAAAAAATCAACAAATGCTAGCAAAAAAATCTATGCATCTTTAAAAAATTAGCTAAAACATAGCGAGGTGGCGTGGGCTTGCAATCTACAATACAATCGGAACTGGAACAGAACTGACTAGCGAACGCAAGATAAACGACAAAGAGTTTGTAGCGTGTAGGGCTTTACACAAAACACAGATGCATATAAACAAAAACTTAAAAGTAAAATAAAATTAAAAAAATACATATAAATAATGAAAACTGAGAATGAAACAAAACACAACAAAGGAAAAATAATATTTAAGTCGCTAAATTGTGAAAAAATGCAATTTATTATAATTAATATTTTATTGCTAAACCGAAAACAAAAAATAAAAATGTATTATAAAAACAATTGGAAACCCATATTTTAACTAATGAGTGTAGTGTCTGACCGAACAGTTCAATTATTGTTGCTCCAGCAGGAAATAGTCTACAAACCGACTGGTTTTTGGATCTATGCTCAGATGAGGTTCCATTGCTTAAACTTGATTATACAGAGTATGATGTTTTATGATAAACCTCGCTGCTAAATGGTACGTTTTGTCTCTTTCAAGAAATTATGACCCATTTCTGTTTCATTTGGTAAAAATTCATAGTTTTGCTAGTGGTTTCTTCACTAGGTCAAGGTTTGAGAAGGTTGGAATTCACTCGGAAGTGAATCTCAGAACCTGCCTGAAAATACAGGGTTTTGGAGCAGTCATTTCTGATCTTTAACGACTAAATGGTTCTCTGCAGCATTAATTAGCAGTTAATCTTCTTCATTGGCACTGCAACCGCACATGCGGTTTTGATAGATTTTCCAATAAAGCACGCTAAGCGTTTCTCTTTTGTGCCAACTGACGCCAATTAGAAATTCCAAAATGAAGCCAAGTCCTTTTTCATCTGGACTTCTCAACGCGGAGGCCTCCTTTTCCTCCTTTACCCGCATCGCGACGCTCTTAGAATACTTTCACGAGCTCTGGACCGTTTCTGTCCAATCGTACGACATGAATAAGACAGCTTAGCCGGTTTTTTTTTTTTAAATCGCCGCACTATGTCTATATTAGGGATGTTTCGAATGTCAAATTTTTCACATTCGCGAATGCGAATTTTAGGAACGCGAATGCGAATGTTAGGAATAACATTAAAAAAGCTATAATCAACTTAAGTCATCGTTTTTATTACTTAAAAATTTTGTAAATTAGTAGAACATCGAACGAGTGCTTAACCTTTACAAACTGTACATTAGTAGTCAAAGTTCAAAAGGGGCGTATTATATTTCAAAAAAAGTAATTTTGCTGCCCTTTCTCCCATGAGGCGATTTCCACTTAACCGNTATAATCAACTTAAGTCATCGTTTTTATTACTTAAAAATTTTGTAAATTAGTAGAACATCGAACGAGTGCTTAACCTGTACAAACTGTACATTAGTAGTCAAAGTTCAAAAGGGGCGTATTATATTTCAAAAAAAGTAATTTTGCTGCCCTTTCTCCCATGAGGCGATTTCCACTTAACCGTATATACAGCAGCTGCACTGAACAATTGCTCACTTGGAACGCTGGCGGGTGGAGCGCTCAAATATTTTCGGGCCAGATCTGTCAATTTGTCGTATTATAGTTTAGTTTTCCACCAATCGAGAGGATTTTCACCGAGATGAGCTCGTTTTTTCTTTAAAATAGGCCTTCAATTGAGCTTTAGTTTTACATTTTTCTCCAGATGCTACACCAGAGCCTTCGCTTTCGCTGGAAGATTCTAAAATTATTTCTAGGTTGCTTATAAGACTTTTAGCAGTACTTGTTGAAGACTGATCAATTTGCTTGATATACTACTTAAGTGTATTATTTCAATTTAAATATAAATTACTAATTGTAAAATTAATTTTATATATGGAAAAACCTAAATACTCAAATACCATAAAAACTAAATTAGATAATTTTTTTAAATACAATTTAAAAAATAACAATTAAAAAAAAACAAATTCCTGCTCTGGGACTCGAACCTTGCTTCTCTCGACTAGCACAGGGGATGAAATGGCAAGTAAATATTTCCTAAAAGCTAAGGAATTGTGTTTTCCTTAAACTGAGTCAAATCGTTTACTTATATTAAGGTAGCCATGTCATTGGAGCCATTTCAAGGTAATATTTCCTTAGAATAATATACTTTTTTCCTAGCTTCAAGGAATGTTTTTCTGATTGTACTTGCCAAATTTCAGGCAAATCGGACCATGACTAAGATTTTTTCGAATAGATCGGTCCCTGGTCTATCTACTGGAAAAGGTAAATTTTTTAGCCCTTCGCATGGTGGCGGCTGGAAGCTATTTATATACAAAATCGAGTCAATACACTTTTGAATTTCTGAACGTATTGAAAGTTGGTTTATGCTTCCGTTTTGAATCACAGCGAACTGGGTCAAAGCGCTTCATGCGTTGGTATAAACAAGGTATATATTTAATATGTCGCTGGCTTAAAGTGAAAAGTTGCTAAGTCCATTTTTACAAATTTTACAGAAACTTTGAATACAACTTTTTGCGTGTTTAAAGCAAAGCAAAACTCCATACGATTAAGAAGGATTCGATCGTTATTAAAAGAGTTCGTATTACTTCGTGTAAAAACCTGTAAAACTGTCAAATAACAAAATTACTCTCTTGAAAGAGAGGAGCGAAACAATAAAGGTCACCTGGAACGCGAAAACCCACTTTTCCTGTAACTACTTCGATTTTTTTTAATGTAAAGTGCCATGGAGACGATCAAATATCTTTATCAACAGTCTCGCGTTATGCTTGACAAAAAACAAGCGCACTTGCCTTCTGATCGTCGTGGTGAGCAAGTGCGCGGACAAGAAAAATTAATTGTTTGTTTAATTGACGAATTTATTTGAACGTTTGCGGGCCAATCTCATACATATGCAATGCTTGACGTATTTATTTGATTGTCTCGGTGGCGCTTAAGGTTCTGTTTTTGTTTACAAATGCAACCCTACCTATCGTTTTAAACTTTTCATGAACCTGCAGGAAGAAAAACTTCGGACTAAAACCTGCAAATTCTGACTGAGAGAGAGAGCAAGTTACTCTCACAAAAGTGGTTTGACTTGCAGGTTGTTTGGCACCTGAAACGCTTTCCTGCAAAAAAAACCTGCAAACCGTGAATATCGTGAGCACCTGGAACGCAACTAATGCTGTCAAGACAATGAAGATATACGTATTAGTTGTTAAAATTGTTCCAATGGAAAAGTATGCATGTATTAGTGAAAAAATGTGCATGTATTGCTGTTGTCATGACAGTATTGTCCGGTGTAAACCCTAAGTTAAGCGTGCGCTTACGCATCCATCGTACAGTTTCCTAAGTAAAAACACTATCAGCTGATTGCCAAAAAATGTCTACAGCTGAGATCGCCTGCTTTTTGGCATTTGCTCTTGTCTTTTACAGATTCTTTCATTTCTATTACAATTTATTCAAAATATACTAACACACTGAAACAAAAACATCAATCCACTAACCAAGAACACCTACAGCCTGCCAGAAAAAATGGTGAGAAGAAGAGTTACCTTACTTATGGAACTGTACGACCCAACAAACACCAACAAAACATTTCTCCAACCTTGGAGAAATTCATAGTTCTCAAGTTGATATGCAACATAATTCTCCAACTCTTCTCTCACCGACGCACACTGATCCCAAATCAAGAAATTATGGAATTAGGGTAAAAATTCAACGAATCGTTCTGATTTTTTTTCTGCTTACGCAATTATAAATAACTTTTATTATAAGCAATTTTGTAAAATATGGCCTACTTTTTAAGAAAAAAATTATTATTTTTATTATATGGAGAAAACCCCATTTTTAGAATTTTAAAGCGCACTTACCACGGATCCGAAATGCGGCTTATGGCACATTGTAGAGGGTATTACTGTCCACAATTTCTCTTTACGACACCTATTATATAAGTCTACGACCCTAAACAATACAGACACTTAAAAAAAATTTTAACAGCAATATTAAAATTTAAGGCATTATAGGGTTAATTACAGTAAATAACAGAATAAACTATAAATTTAGACTATCTTTGGATTTCAATCCGGTGAAGATTCGTTTTACTTTGTGTACGGATATGTCTCGTGGAGATTTTGAAATTTTTTTTAACCGCTTAAGTTTCTGCCGTCAGACACATAGGTATGTATGCATTTTAAAATACAGGTAGTTTCTATGTAAGTCGGTATATCATAAAATACACTAACAGCCGTATTCTAACAAAGTCACAAACTTTAGCTCATCACTGCTGTGATTTCTACTGCGCCTCAAAGCTTGCCGCTTCAAAAAATATGCCGCTACAATACAAATTTTTAAATTTTTGTGTATTTTTCCAGCACTCAAAATCGAATTTTTTCACACATTTCTCGGCGCACTAGAAATCACAACAGTGATGAGGAAAGTTTTGAGACTCTGTTAGAATAGAGAGGTAAGCATAATATAATCTATGGCCTTCAAATAGTTACACAGAATAAAAAAAAAATACCAATCGCGCCTTGGTTTCACAATTTCCTTGAAAAGGCGAGCAAATGCTTTTGTGTGCAAATACCCTTTTTACCTGAAGTTCTACGAGTATGTTGAGATCTTGTTTTTACCTCTCCCTCTACATACCCTTTGTTTATTTACCATAAATAATCGCCTAGTATATGCTAAACGCATATTCAGGAAAATAGACAATACGGTGGTTTTGAAGGCGTTTCAGGTAGGATAACTACTAGCATTCTAACGAAAAGGAAAAAATAAACCTTTCCAGATTCTTCGAAACCTTCAAAGGTATATGCAAACATTGAACGACATTCCTTCAGAATATAAAGTATTGCCACACTAGTCCCAAATCGAGAAGTTATTCAATTAGGGCCGAGATTCCAAGAATCGATCTGATTTTTTTCTGGGGATTTTTATTATAACAAATTTTCTAAAAAATGGCCTACTTTTTAAGAAAAAAAGATAAGTCTACGACTTGAAAAGATACAGGAACTTAATAAAAATTTTAACTGCAATAGCAAAATTAAAGGCATTAGAGAGTCTTTAACCGAGTTAATTACAACTAAGAATACAATAAACTATAAATTTAGACTAGCTATGCAACTGGATCCGGTAGAGATTCATTTTCGATTTCACGCAGGTCGTATGGAAATTGGTCTTTGAGCATTTCCACTGCT